CATCTCTTTCTGAGTAGGTAGCATGGGCAAGTCCTTCATTCAGTGACTGGAACTGATAAGGGTTACACTGAGAAGTTTTAAAACTAAGCAAAGGTGTAAAAACAGTCCCTTATCTCTCTGCTTGTTGCCTAATATCCTTCAAGTCAAAGAGAATGCTTCAGCCTTGAATAAATTAGCAACAAATGCTTGAGGACAAAGACAATTTCATTCTTCAAAATCTTCTGGAATGCACTGATTTAGCTGTCTGATAGAAGTAGTGAGGGCAATGAGTGGTTTCTTTTTACTTGTAGTTATTACTGGTGCTATACAGCAACAGGGACACATTTTCTGAATTGGGTTCTGCATTCTCTGTTGATTTTTGGAGATCTCCTAACATCATGAGGATGCCAGATATGTGGTTTGCTCATGTTGGTTTTTTTTGGTGTTTTGTGTTTTGTTTAAGTGTTTTACATATGGGCAAAAAAGATGGAAAAAATAATAGTTTCTTGTAACCACATTTACATTTGGAATAAAAGCTATGTTAACTCTTAACACAACTTTGCCCTCATGAGAGATGCAGCCTTGCCAGCCCTGGATAAGCTCTTAACCTCTAAAACAACTCTTTGTCATAATAATTGCAGCTAGCATAGCAACTTTTAGAGCCAGAAATCCTCAGTGTACCTCCAAAATACATCAAGAGGCTTTATTAAGCACAAGATTGAGGTTCCCATAAGAGCTCTCTTTAACACAGAAAAGTTGAGAAGGGCTGTAGCTTTGCAAGCAGAACACAAAGAAGTGAACCCAAAGGCTTCCAGCACTGGTTTTGGACCTTTCTAAATTTGCAAATTCCTGAAAAATTTTAAGTCAAAGGACAGATATCGTAAAAAATTTCACATATGCTAACGGATTTATATCCTTGCTATTGCCAGCCACGCTTCATGGGCTGTAACAGTAATCTACATAATGTTATAGTAGTCAGTGGACCACAGGCTGAAAAATCAGAGTAAGGCTATCAGCTCACAGTGGGCCAAAAAAGTAACAAATCCACAAAGATTCAATTTGCATGCAAGAAAACGTCCCAGGAACTTGTGATACAAGATGGATCTAGATGTCTCCCGCCAACTGCAAAGGACAGGTCTGAGGGCTGAAGTCCCCAGTGCTGGAAGCTGAAGAGAAGAGTCTTCCCAGCTGGGTAGAGCCCAGTCCCACCCAGGAACAGGTTGATGGTAATGAACTAGCTCTAAATGCAAACTCCCCATCAGGCTGCAAAATAAGGACTGCAGTGAAGTGTACACGTCAGGTAATATAAATACACACATTTCTATTACTTTCTCCAGCTATGTGATGCTGATACCCTGGCTGAGGATCTAGCACCTTGTCATTTGGGCAACAAGCTCTGCAGCTGTATCTCTGACCTGACACCTTAGAAAGGGGCACAGGATATATCTTATATTGCCAATGGCATGTGAAACAAATATCCCTTATAGGAGGCTCCCAAAATAGTGTTTTGATTGGGTTCTTCAGATCAGGAACTATTTGAAATATTTAACTTTTGGAATTTATCATTTCAATACTGAACCATAGTTGGCAGAGGAAAAGGTTCATCAAATGCTGGATCAAGTTTGTGCCTCAAACAGTAGCACACTGGGAAGAAAATGGCCAAGAGTCCATCAGTACAGTAGTTAGTTGCTTTTATTACTCATCTTCACTAAAAAGATTCTGCAAGCATCTCCTCGCACGACATCAGGAGTCTTAAAAATGGAGGTGATTTCAGCTACCAGACTGGACATCTCTGCTCCAGAGATATCTCATGTTTTAAACAAACATTGCAGCACAGATACAACACTGAAATTTCCTTCCTCTGCCTGCTTGGGGACCCACGCTGAGCTGGCCAGCCAGCCACCACATCTGCTTGAAGGATGCAGAGGGGTTTCCTGCAATCTCTTTCCTTATTTTATGCAGCTCCCTCCCTAACTCATCATAACTGCATTGCAGACCGTCAGGACCTGGTTTCCTGTCTGTACTTCCTCCTGAGCCACAAGGTCTCCTCAGAACAAACACCACAGATTTTGAAATAAAACAAAGGGTATTTCCACAGTGGTTCCTTCCACACTGATTTAAAAACTGGTCCCCAGTTTTAAATTCACCAGCATCAAAACTGGCTTTTCCAAGGGGTAATTTTCCTTGACCTAAGGCTGAGGCAGTGCTGTGATGGAGCGTGGGCACCACTCTCACGCAGCTCGGAGGCTGAACGGAGAGGCAGACGTATGATGCCCAGGATGGGCACAGATAAGATTGCTCTAAAAGAAGGGTCCAGCTTAGAGCATCTTACTGAGAGGACTCCAGGGTGGAATAAGCCTGTTGGAGGATGCATGGCTCCAGCCAAAAGGCAGAGGTTCGGCACACAAATGGTTGCTGTGAGCTGGCTCACACTTAATGGTTCATGGAAAATGATACGTGGGGGTGAACAAAAGCCTTTGGGCTGGGACAGCCAGCAATGGATGCATTTACTCATCTGCGTCTTGGATCTTCTCCTCTGAGGCTTATTCTGGAGGAAAGAGGAATGTGCACAATAATCCTGAGAAGGATGTGAAACTTTCAAAAGCACTAAATCCTCACTGGATTTCCCATTCTATACATTTTGGATACCAGGCAAGTAAATCTTTACTCTCACTGTCAGGAAGACAGCCGTGCCCTGTCCCCTACTCTTTCCTGGTTTCTTCATGCCTCTTATTAAACACACCGGCAAAGTTTATTTTGAGGAACTGAAAGAGGAGAAGGGTTCCTCCACCTTCCACTTTTGTTTTAGTGGAAAAAGGGAGCTTTACAAACTTTCTCTATTCAGAGTGACCCTGTAGTCGGGTCCATTTTACTTTTCTTTCCCAACTGCCTGTTTTTTTTCTGGGAAAAGGAAGTGTTATCTTTGACTGCAGAAGCATCCTTTGTCCACTCTGGTAAGTGCATCAGAGATCACCTTTGAAATAACAGGGTACCCTGGGATAGAGAACTGTGCCTGCTCCTGTGTTATATACAGGTAAAGACAACCCCTGAAAGCATGGCTTTGACATGACCCTTTCACACATTCTTTAGCCTTCCCAGAAGATCAGGGAAAGGCAGGGAAAACCTTCATCTGGAAGCTCCAGGAGGCCACAAGCCTGACACAGCCCCTGGGAGAAGGACAAGTCAGAAATAAACAGGCCAAGAGGACTTGGGTGTTTGCTTTCTCCCCTACAAGCAGGCAGCTCCCTCTGTCTCGTGCCTGTACAGAGAAGAACAAAAAGCAACAAAACAGGGAAGACTGGCAAAGCACATGAATGAAGTCCACTCAGAAGGCAACTTTTAAAAAACAATTCTGTTTGTTTTTTCTCATTTTGATTGCATGAGGAGGACTGGTTCCAAAGAGGCTGGATAGGAGCATGGGGGGCAGTACTGCAGCCACCCACCCCTGCATCACAAGGGGGCTTGTAGCTGTTGGGCTACAGAGCTCCCACAACCAAGTAATAGCCCAGAACCCTCTTGGAGGTTCGTTACAGTAGAGAGGACAGACCTCTTCTGTACTGGTGCGTTTCCTTCCTTGTTGACTGCAGCAAGAAGCCTCATTCAGTGTTTTCTCCAGTTGAGATCAGAGAGACAAGGCAGACTTCAGAGTGCAGCCACATCCCCAGTTGGCAGGTATATCAACAAGTCCCAAGTATGATCGATAGCCCTGCAATGGCTTTGCAGACTTTCTGGGAAAGAATAATTCCTGTTCACGTTCTCCTTGAATGCTTTCTCCAAATGGCTTACGGGTAAGAGCAAAATGCAGATGTATGCAACACAAACTAGCTCAGTGAATGGTTTCCTGAAGCATCTAAACCCCATCCGTCTGTGATCAGTAGAGGCTCGGAAGCCAGAGTTTCAACACTTTAGATCTGAGGGGCTGTGGGATCACAACAGAGTCATAAATCTACGGATAATTCAGATGACAAAGTGGAAAGCAGGAGAACAGAGTTCAGCTTAGGATCTCTCAAGAAGACTGGTTAAATTTTCTGTGAAATAGAACAGCAATTTTTCCTTAATCTTGCCTCAAAACTGCTATTGTACAGTATAATTAGAAATAATTGTATGGCCTCAGATTTTCTTTGATCTCTGAGTTTTTTATCAGTTTTATAGCCCTGTAATATTATTCTTTACCTAGGTCTAAATGACACAACAGTTCATTGGCAACATCGCACAGAAGGAAATCAATCCAAAAAACAGGGAATGTCATCTTTGATGTCATCATATTGTGACGATTAAACACATGCAAAAAAAAAAAAAATCACTTTATCTTCTTTATTAGTGGTGGATGGGCTAATCAAATCATGCAATATTTCTAACCGAGCCTGTTACTGGATCTCATCAAACTAAATGAGCAGAACCTGGATGGCAAAGTAAACTTACAAGAGGGAAGTTCCTTAAGTCAGAATCATCAAGATTTGGCTTCTGGAGCTTTACTTTCTGTTCTACTGGCTTACGGCATAGTAAAAGTACAAATAAGGCAGAACAGAAAGCTTAAAAGGCAATGAGAAGAATAACACAACTTATAAGGCACACTCTGCTCATCTAACAATTCCCAGTATCCCATAAATACCAAAAAGCAATTCAGACAGTGACCTTCAAAAAACTTCCCTTATCCAGGGACTGTGTATTCAAGGTCGAAGTTTCACCAGACTTCAGTCTGCAAGAGTGGCATATTAGCTATTCAGCTGTAACTCCCGTAATGACAGGAGACAGCTGAGATCTGCTCAAATCAAATTACAGCTCTGATTATGCAAAACACTATGATTCTGCATTTCCTGACACCAAGACTACTTCAGAGTGCAGCTTGAAGATATCTGCTCTAAGATTTCTGAAAACAGGCAATTAAAACAACAAGAGAAAAACTAGTTTATTACTCTACTCCTATTTGGTAAAGCATACTTCATGACAAATTATATATACGAATGTGTCAACAGCTGAATATAAACACTGAGAAGTATTTTGTAAAATATATCTCATACCATCAGGGAGTTGTTTACAGGACAAAGCATCATCAAGATCTTTGGCAGTTGATGGGTCGATGGTGAAAATGCATTCTTTCCTATCCGAGGAAAAAAGAAGAAAAGAAAAATTTATCTTCCAGTCATGAAGGTGGTATCAAAACACAGAGACCATCACGGATATCTAGACAACAACCACCATGTTTTCAAAAGACTCTACCTGTTGAAACAACTACCAACCTAATCTGAAAATCTAAATCTAATCTTAAAAAAAAAAGTTTTAGACAAGTGAGTCTCCTTGGGTTCCCCCCCCCCTTTTTTTTTAGTTTGCTTGCTTTCACCTCATTACTGTTTTTTCTCCACAAAAACTAAACAATTTAGCTCATCAAGTTCACTCCAAAGAAACAAGCAGGAAAAAGTCTTGATGCCTTGCAGCTAGAGTAAAAATAGATTGTTCCTAATTGGAAAGTTAAATAGAACACAAATAACCCCCATGCCCATGCATAAAAGAGATACCGCAGCATCTGAAACTCCACAAGCACAGCTAGCATGGACCAGACGCAGTGAAACATCTACAAAACAGGCTGAATAACAGCAGAAGTGAGAGAGAGTTCTGGTCTCAGTAAAGACACCCAAGAGGTGCAGTACTTCATAACATTTACCTTGCCTATTATACACCAGAGGGAAAAGCAGGTTCAATAGGAAACGCTATGCAAGCTGTAGAGTGAAAGCGCTCCAAATCAGCTATTTAGATCTAGCAAATCAACTTGGTGCTTAGGAAAAGCTGAATGCCTCTCTGTACATGATATACTAGAGGGTACCTAGAATACGCAGCCCTGCCCCGGAAGGCTTACATACGTACGTCCCGTATCAGTGGGTGGCAGGGATAGTGGGAACATACCAAGATGGACCACAGAAATCATCTAGGGCCAAGGAGATGAGACAAATATAGCATCTGACTTAGGAATCACTATGTTTAAAAGAGCAGAGCCTGGCACCAGCGAGACCCCAAACCTGAAGCACTCCACAAATAAAACTTCCTATACTTCTGCTTTAGGGTCTCCCTTCATCCTGGGCTGCCCTACAGCAACTTCTTGCCTGGGCCCCTGGACTACGGCAGGGTTCACCCAAGCAACATATGGAATGTGGGACTGGAGTTGAAGAGCAGTGAAGACAGTAAACTAATAGGTTTGCTGGTTCGTTTTGGTTTTATCTTAACTTTTAGAGTAAGTTCAGCCCCTCCCTAGTTAAAAGATCCCCAAGCACAAAAGCACAATGGTACAGGCTGAGGCTGCCAAGGAAGAGATGAGACCACTTCTTTTCTTCTTTTCTTTGCTGCAGAAAAACTCGTATCATGATGGCAACTCCCTCCTAGAGATGTATAATGAAAACACATATTATTTTTCTTACAGCATAACCACCAGTACACTCCTGGGGTAGGAGAGGTGGGAGGGGAAAAATTACAGCGAACTTTTAAAGGAGCAAGTGTCATGTGGAATTAGCATTAGTCTCTTTGCATGGGTGCTTGCACAGTGAGAGCAATATCTCTATCTTCACAGGCCTATCACTTTGGTACTTAAATGCTCTGGGTGGTATCTGTTGGTGTCAGACAGCTGGCAGCGTGTATTTATATAATTCCACCAGGCACACTAAATAGAGATTTTCAAAGACATAAAAATCAGTAAAGCACTTCACTGCCTTCCGAGACTTGGAAAATCTTTTAGAACATGCTAGCTTTCAGATTGGATAGCAAAGCTGCCTTAATCCCCAGATGCACTTTAGTTTCTGATCCTTTGCATGCATCTAAACAAATTAGAGATCGTGACGCTGAAAGATATAAAATCTCTTCAACTACACCAGGACTTTGATCTATTGCTGCCTAGCCATCCAGCACCGGTAATCCACCGATTTTTAAGGCCTTGCAAACAACCTTAACTCCATAAATATATATTCCTTAAAATTCCACCTAAGGATGGAATTTCAGGATACCTCTACTCCAAAGCACCGTGCAACTTTCTGCAGGGAGCCCTGCCTATGCAGCTACACAGACGCCTATACTACAAGCAGTATGGGGGCACGTGTGCCAACCGGCACGTGTTGATACACCAGGTCCCACTAACTCACAGGGTATAAAGGCAACAGCATCCTGGCACTGTGACACCCCTCCCCTGGCCACATCTAGTAAATCTTCCTTTAAGTTACTTCATTTGAAAGAACAAATGGCACTGAAAAGACATTAATGGCTTGCTTTATCTGACAAGTGAGCAAGAAAAAGGTTTAAAGAGCTTCTTCAAAGAGAATGTGGGTTCCTATGTCAGGGGAATAGATCGCTTATCCCAGATGTTCAGGGCCTGCAACCACAAGCATCTGCCACCCATTGTGAATCGTAGCTGCAGGCAGTTCAAAAATTAGCAGATTGGTTTCAATGAAGTGCGTATTTGCAGTCTGCCCTGGAAAGAAGCGAACATAAATACACGGGTGCCAGATTCTGAACACATTTATACAAGGGTAGCAACTAATGGGCTGCTTTGCTGAGATGTATTTGTCCAGCCAAATCTACCACAGAGGTCAGTGGTGATCCCTGTTCAGAGAGCCCAAATCTGCGGGGCCGCTGGGGCAGGCCCAGCTCCCCGGGGCAGCACTTCGTGCGCAGCTCGCTGCGCTTCGGGATGCGCTGGCCGGACTCCGAGCAGCCTCTTAACGTGCAAACTACAGGCACAGGCACGGCTTGCCATCTGAGATACTGAAACTCACAGATGCAAAGCGAAGAGGGGTCCAGACAAACACCAATTTAGCATTTCTCACCAGCACTTCTATGAGCAGCACAGCTGGGATATGTTTTACCACCAGGCTCAGATCCGCTTCTTCTTTAAAACTACTCAAGGGACTTGGACTTGTAGCTTGTCACAGGCCGTTTATTCTGGGCACAGACTGCAAGGTGAGGTAAGAAAGTCACTGAGCAAGTAACACAGGGGACGATACTCGCTGGCATAAGGGCTCTGCAGAAGTGCTGCAGAGCCGATGGCCAGGTAGTCAATGGGACAAGAGAAGCCGATCCGCAAGCAGAGCTCGAAGTTCACAGCAGTGAGATAATCCTGGCACAGAGCAGCACACCTAGCTGAAGTTTGCTAAGCAAATTCCGCTCACCAGTAATTGCATTATTAAGTGTGATGAATTATATTTCTGGTTTTCAGTTTTTATTACTGGAGAGGTTTCAGATGGCTATAGGAAGCGGGGCCGGCTTGTGGGAAGGAAAACAATCCACCGAGTGATGGAACTGCAGCGCTGAGCCTGAGAGCAGCACCCTGCACACGTGCTCCTCCAGGGCAAGGTCTGCGAGGAAGGCGCGTTCCCAGCTATCTCCTCCTGCTTCTCCGCCAGCCCTGCAGATAGGTATCAGTGTTTCTCTCCAGCACGCCGCAGAGAGCCGCCTCTCGTCCCAGAGCGAATCGGCACAAGGCAAGGGGAGGAAGGCCGGGTGCGGGCAGCGCAGCCTGCCCGCTGCTCTGCAAGCTGTCCCCTCCCTTGGCACCTTGGCTCCTGCACAAACCCCCAGGGAGGACCCTGGAGGCAGCTGACAAAAACCATCTGGGTGAAGAAATAACATTGCTCCCAGCTATGTGGCAAGTCCGCCCTGTGAAGAGGAAGGAGCCGTTCTAATTCCACCCCCGACCATACTGTCTGGCTGTACAATACCCCAAAGGCTGTAGCACAAAGGATTTTACAGTGATCAGACCACATTTCTGACCGTAACCAATAATGAAACCAACCTGCAGTGGGTTGTATGACTAAACCTCAAGGCAACAGTACTTTTAATGCACCTGCTAACAAAGATGTCGCTTAAGCACAAGCAGATTGCCCGGCCACATGTATGCACATTTGCATTGACTACAGTACATGCAAACTGGAAGCTGTCTCCAACTTCTGGAGGGCCACCAAGGTGACCTTCTGGGTTAAAGGAGCTTGATCATTCCCCTCTCCTCCTTCTTTAAAAGCCCTGAAGGAGCCATCTCTCATTGTCGTTACACCTAATAAAAATCTGTTTTATTCATTTAAAGTTGTCAAAACATACTTTGTAAAGGTAATGAGATGTTCCAAGTCCACTTGTTCCAACATACACACAACTTGGTTAGTTAAAGGAAACCAGTGTAGGAGATATAGACACACACAGAGTTAAGAGATTTTCTGGTCTTCATACTGGAAAGGACTAGAGAGAAACACGTGCCTTTAGGAACACCCCAGCCTCCCTCACACTGATCAAAAACAAACATTCCAGTGTGGAAACTTCCACTTTTTACAGGAGCCTCTTTGTCCAAAACATATGTTTAATGCAGGTTTGCAGAGGTGGACCTGCTCTGGCATGGAGTTTCTGTCAATGGAAAAATATAATCTTTTCTCCCCGCTCCTTGTGGTTCATGAAACCCCCCCCGAGGTTTCATGCACCAGAGCGAGTCAATGCCTGCGAGAGTTTTGAAGGATCAGGGGAACATGGCTCACACGGAACATGGTGGACCTGCAAGCAAGAGTCAGGAAAGCACATGCCACACACAGACTGCCCAACCCTGCCAGCCCCAGGCAGTGCCCAGGAGCTGATCCAGCCACCTCTAACCCCGAAACAGCAACAAGAGCACTGCTAAAGACAAAGCTCGCACGCTGGCTTCAACTGCCATCTTACAAGTTAACCATCTGGGGGGAAAAAAAATTGCAGAATAGAGCACTAAGTTTACTAGATAGTAATGACAGCATGCACACATACAGGCTGGTATATCAATCCTAATTTAAGGAAAGCTAATTAAGTGCAGTTTCTCTTTGCACAGCTTAAGGAAGCCTAATTAAAGCGGACAGGCATATCTGCAGAGCAGTTAGTCTTTTTACCTTTAAACAGGACCTAAAATAAATGGCTAGTGCAGCAGTAGAGGTAAGATAAGTAGTCTGTTGATGACCTGGAATTACTGTCATGGTAATTAAAACGTTCACAGATCACAGGACTGCAACACCAGTTTGTTTTTCTTTGTGCAAATATGTATATCTACACAAAGGTATTCGCAAGAATCAGCAGAGAAAATACTGTATAGTTGGTGCTGCAAGGTTTGACACCATA